CACCCTCAGAACCAACAAAGAATGTTTTCTTCTGTGTTTAAACCATTTCTTGAGTTCTTATAAGAGTGGTCTTATACAATATTTGTCCTTTTGCGACTGATTAAATTCACTCAGCATGATGCCTTCCAGATTCCTCCACGTTGTTTCACGGATTCATCGTCGTTCTTTATCGTTGCGTAGTATTCCACTGTGTAAATACACTATAATTTGTTTATCCATTTGTCTGTTGATGGGCACCTAAGTTGTTTCTATGTTTTGCTATCGTGAACAGTGCTGCAATGAACATGGGTGTCCATATATCTACTCGTGTGACAGCTCTTATTTCTCTAGGATATATTCCAAGGAGTGGGATTGCTGGATCATATATGGTACTTATATTTCAAGCTTTATAAGGAAGCGTCAAATCGATTTCCAAAGTGGCTGTACCACTTTACATTCCCACCAACAGTGTATAAGTGTTCCAGTCTCTCCACAACATCTTCAACATTTATTATTTTGTGTTTTTTGGATTAATGCTAGCCTTGTTGGGGTGAGATGGTATCTCATTGTAGTTTTGATTTGCGTTTCTCTAATGGCTAACGATAGTGGGCATTTCCTCACGTCTGTTAGCCACCTGAATGTCTTCTTTTGTGAACTGCCTGTTCATATTCTTTGCCCTTTCTTTAACTGGGTTATTTGTCTTTTTGTTGTTGAGGTTTTGCAGTATTTTCTAGATTCTAGAGATTAGACGCTGATGGGATTTGTTGCCACCAAAAGTATTTTTCCAGTCTGTAGGCTGTCTTTTGACTCTTTTGGTGAAGTCTTTTGATGAGTGTTTAAGTGTTTGATTTTTAGGAGCTCCCAGTTATCTAGTTTCTCTTCTGGTGTTTGTGCATTGTTACTAATGCTTTGTATTTTGTTTATGCCATGTATTAGGTGTCCTAGCATTGTCCCTATTTTTTCTTCCATGATCTTTAGCGTTTTTGATTTTATATTTAGGTCTTTGATCCATTTGGAGTTAGTTTTTGGGCATGGTGTAAGATATGGGTATTGTTTCATTTTTTTTGCAGACGGATATCCAGTTACGCCAGCACCATTTGTTAAAGAGACTGTCTTTTTCCCATTTTATGGACTTTGAGTCTTTGTCAAATATCAGCTGCTCACAGGTGAATGAATTTACATTTGGATTCTCAATTCTGTTCAATTGGTCTATGTATTCTTTGTTGTACCAGTACTAGGTTGTTTTGACTACCGTGGTGGTATAATAGGTTCTAAAATCAGGTAGTGTGAGGCCCCCACTTTGTTCTTCTTCTTGAGTAATGCTTTAGTTATCTGGGGCTTCTTCTCTTTCCATATGAAGCTGGTGATTTGTTTCTCCATCTCATTAAAAAATGCCATTGGGATCTGGATCAGGATTGCATTGTATCTATAGATCGCTTTGGGTAGAACTGACATTTTCACAATGTTGAGTCTTCCTATCCATGAGCAAGGTATGTTTTTCCACTTATGCAGGTGTCTTTCGGTTTCTTGTAGTAGTGTCATGTAGTTTTCATTGTATAGGTCTTTTACGTCTCCAGTTAAGATTTACTGCTAAACATTTTATCTTGTTGGGGGCTATTGTAAATGGTATTGATTTGATTTCCTCTTCGAAGTTCTCTTTGTTGTTGTAGAGGAATCCAATTGATTTTTGTATGTTTATCTTGTATCCTGACACTTTGCTGAAATCTTCTGTTAGTTCCAGTAGTTTTCTTGTGGATTCTTTGGGGTTTTCTGTGTATAAGATCATATCATCTGCAAATAGAGATACTTTGACTTCCTCCTTACCAATTTCAATGTCCTTTATTTCTTTTTCTAGCCTAACTGCTCTGGCTAGGACCTCCAGCACAATGTTGAATAAGAGTGGTGATAAAGGGCATCCTTGTCTGATTCCTGTTCTCAAGGGGAATGCTTTCACACTCTCTCCATTTAGGATGATGTTGGCTGTTGGCTTTGTATAAATGCCCTTAATTATGTTGAGGAATCTCCTTTCTCTTCCTATTTTGCTGAGAGTTTTTATCATGAATGGATGCTGGACTTTGTCAAATGCCTTTTCTGCATTAATTGATAAGATCATGTGGTTTTTGTCTTGTTTTAATTATGTGATGGATTACATTGATTGTTTTTCTAATGTTGAACCATCCCTGCATACCTGGTATAAATCCCACTTTATCATGGTGAATTTTTTTTTGATTTGTTGTTGAATTCTATTGGCTAGAATTTTGTTGAGGATTTTTGCGTCTATGTTCATGAGGGATATTGGTCTGTAACTTTCTTTTTTTTGTGGTGTCTTTACCTGGTTTTGGTATCAGGGTTATGCTGGCTTCATAGAATGAGTTTGGGAGAATTCCATCATTTTCTATACTCTGAAATACATTTAGCAGTAGTGGTTAATACTTCTCTGAAAGTTTGGTAGAATTCGCCAGTGAAATTGTCAGGGCAAGGGTTTTTCTTTGTTGGGAGTTTTTAAATTAACTTTTCAATCTCTTCTTTTGTTATAGGTTTATTTAGTTGTTCTACCTCTGTTTGTGTTAGTTTAGGTAGGTCGTGAGTTTCTAGAAATTTGCCCATTTCCTCTAGGTTTTCAAATTTGTTAAAGTACAATTTTTCATAGTATTGTTATGATTCTTTTAATTTCAGTTGGGTCTGTTGTGATATCACCCATCTCATTTCTTATTTGGGTTATTTGCTTCCTCTCTTTTCTTTTGTCAGTTTGGCTAATGTTTATTGATTTTGTTGATCTTTTCAAAAAACCAGCTTTTGGTCTTGTTAACTCTTTCAATTGTTTTTCTATTCTCTATTTCATTTAATTCTGCTCTAATTCTTATTATTTCCTTTCTTCTGGTGCCCAAGGGTTTCTTCTGCTGTCCTCTACTTGTTCCAGTTGTAGGGTTAATGTTTTGATTTTGGCCCTTTTTTCTTTTTGGACATATGCATTTATTGCTATGAACTGACCTCTGAACACTGCTTTTGCTGTGTCCCAAAGCTTCTGATAGGATGTGTTTCCATTCTCATTTGATTCTGTGAATTTCTTTATTCCATCCTTCATTTCTTCTATAACCCAGCAGTTTTTGAGCAAGGTGATATTCAGTTTCCACGTATGTTTTTCCCTAGCTTTTTCTGATATTAGATTTCTACTTTTATGGCTTTATGGTCAGAAAAGACGCTTTGTAATATTTTGATGCTTTGGATTTTGTTAAGGCTTGCTTTATGGCCTGATATGTGGTCTATTCTGGAGAATGTTCCATGTGCATTGGAAAAGAAAGTATACTTGGCTGCTGTTGGGTGCAGTGTTCTGTATAGGTCTATGAGATCAAGTTGGTTGATTGTGGCGTTTACATCTTCCGTGTCTTTATTGAGCTTTTTTCTGGATGTTCTGTCCTTTACCAAAAGTGGGGTGTTGAAGTCTCCTACTACCATTGTGGAGCTGTCTCTCTTTTCAATGCTGTTAGAGTTTGTTTTATATATTTTGGAGCCCTCTCGTTGGGTGCATAAATATTTATTATAGTTATGTCCTCCTGGTGTACTGACCCTTTAATCATTATATAATGTCCTTCCTTATCCTCTGTGGAAGATTTTGCTTTAAAGTCTATTTTGTCAGAGATTAATATTGCCACTCCTGCTCTTTTTTGATTGTTGTTTGTTTGATGTATTTTTTCCATCCTTTGAGTTTTAGTTTGTGTCTTTAAGTCTAAGGTGTGTCTCTTATAGGCAGCATATAGATAGATCGTGTTTTTTGATCCATTCTGCCACTCTGTCTCTTTATTGGTGCATTTAGTCCATTGACATTCAGAGTAATTATTGACAGGTATGAGTTTAGTGCTTTCATTTTGATGGCTTCTGTGTTGTTGACAGTTTCTTTATTCCGTTTAATTTTCTACGCTGAGTCGTTTTTATTTATGTATTTTCATTGTTGTTGATTTTGTATTTGCTGAGTCTTTATGCTTTTCTTTTTTATTTTGATGTGTAGGACTGTTAGTTTCCTTTGTGGTTACCTTAGTATTTACCCCTATTTTTCTAAGTTTAAACCAGTCTTTTATTTCTTTATATCACCTTGACTTCCTCTCCATATGAAAGATGTATGACTACATGTATTTCTTTATATCACCTTGACTACCTCTCCATATGAAAGATGTATGACTACATTTATTAATCCCTCTTTTTGTTTTAATATTTCATCTTTTACATACTGAAGTCTCTGTTCCCCTGTTTTCAGTGTTTTAGCTTTGATTTATTTTTGTGACTTCCCTATCTGGGTTGATAACTGGTTGCTCTGTCCTGTGTTCTAGTCTTGGGTTGTTATCTGATGTTATTGATTTTCTAACCAGGTGACTCCCTTTAGTATTTCTTATAATTTTGGTTTGGTTTTTGTAAATTCTCTTATGTTCTGTTTATCTGGAAATGCACTAATTTTGCCATCATATTTGAGAGTCAGTTTTGCTGGATATATAACTCTTGGCTGGCAATCTTTTTCCTTCAAGACTTTATATATGTCATCCCATTGCCTTCTTGCCTGCATGATTTCTGCGGAGTAGTCTGAGCTTAAAAATATGGAACACTTCATGAATTTGCGTGTCATCCTTACACAGGGGCCATGCTAATCTTCTCTGTATTGTTCCAATTTTAGTATATGTGCTGCTGAAGCGAGCAGTATCTTCCCTCTTTCGTTGCATTCTTAGGATATTTCCAATTGCTCATTCTCATACAAAGCTGTGAATTGCTGGGCAAAGGGGAGTCAGTATTCTAAGGGCTTGTGATGCACAATGCCAAGTCACTCCCACCTACCCAAACTGTTAACTATGTTAAAGGGTCAGGAAATGCAGAGAGACTCATAAAATGTGTCATATAAGTGTTAGAAGCTTAGCAGTCCTACTGGGCAGAGGCCACTAAGATGCTCTGAGGAGAGTGGGCACAGGCAGTGGGGCCTGGTGGGAGCCAGCTCTGAATCTCTGGGGGTGAAAGGGGGTTAGGGAGGCTCCACTCACCTGCGCACAGGCCTTCAGGGGCCCTGAGGGCTTGTCATCCTGCTCTTCCATGCCCTCCTCCAGGCAGGGCAAGGTCCTGAGGACTCGGAGCTGCAGTGGGAGGAGACAGCCCTGAGACAGCATCATGGCCCACACCTGTGCATGTGGGCAGGGCACTGGCGGGACCCCTCCACTTCCCAGACCAGTCTCTGCCCCTGGAATGCACTCTCCACGGCAAGTGAGCTTCTAGAAGTTACCGCCCAGACTCCAGCCCAAATAACTGTGCGTATACCCAGCATCTCTCAGGCATAACCCTGCCTCTCCAGTTGCAACCTGGTTCCTCCACTGTTTGGGGGCTCTGAGCCACCTACACATAAGCCTACCTCCTGCAGAAAAACAGCCTCCTTCCCTCTACCACCAATATCTGCAGCACAAATCAGTTCCCCTCTTATTCCCACTGGGTCCTGGGATCCCCACAAACACCTAGTATCCCTCCCTAGGGTCAGGAGTAGGGCTCCGGATAAACAGCTCAGAATTACACTTGACTAAATGTATGAAGCCCAAGACGTTGTCCCGCCCCTGCCAGGAGCTGATTCAGCCATTGAGATGGATCCTATCCCTCCACCTACCAGGTCTTAGGAGCCCTCGTGGTGCGCTGGTTAAGCACTCGACTGCTAACTGAAAGGTTGGTGGTTCAAACCCACCCAGTTGTTCCAGGGAGAAAGACCTGGTGACCTGCTCCTGTGAAGATTACAGTCAAGAAAACCCTATGGGGCAGTTCTACTCTGTTACATGGGGTTGATGGCACCCAACAACCACACGTACAGCCAAGCCCTACTCTCGAGCATCCTCTTGGAGATCACCTCTTATTTCCCCTCAAACAGCCAAGCTGCACCCAGAACCTGGTCCCTCCACCCTTCCAACCCACTGACCCTCCCAGGGTGGAGCCAGCCCAGATTCCTACCCCAACGCCTTCCTGTGTCCTGAGTTTGTAGCTTTGATCTGGTCCCTCCACTCAGCTGAGTGTCCTCAGGCCTGACACTGCAGCCTGAAACTGCAACAGAGCCTGCACAGGACTAGAGGCTCCCACCCAAACACGAGCAGCACATGCCAGCCGAGGACGGCCTCTCCCAAGCCCAGAAGGTGTAGCGCTGACTCTTTCTACCAACTAGGTGTTTTCAGGCCTGACGAGTGCAAATAAAAAACAAAAAACAAACCACTTGCCATAGAATCAATTCTGACTCAGGGCATCCCCACGTGCGTGAGAGTAGAGCTGTGCTCCACTGGGTTTTCACTGGCTGACAGGGTTTTTTTTCACGGGGTTTTCAATGGCATTTCTTCTAAGGTGCCTCTGGGTGAACTCGAACCTCCAACCTTTTGGTTAGCAGCGGCCACCCAGAGACCAGAGCAGCCCCTGGTGAATCCTACCCTGCCCTGTCCCTTCCCCACCCCACCCCTAGCTTCTCATTCAGTTTAGCATGGGTTCAGAGTGCAGCTCTACCTGAACCTGCACCAAAACCCAGTTCCATCCACCAACCTCCACAGGCCCCTCATGAGCAGCGGCAGCCCAGATTCCTGTCCAAACACCTTCCTGGGCTCCTGCGGCTCAGCAAGAGCCTGTCCTTCCACCTACGTGGGCATCATGAGGCTGTATTGAGGGTACCATCTGCACAAAGGTCCCAGCACCCTCTGCCCAAAACCCACCTGCAGCCTCCTGTTTCCCACTCAAACACTTGGGTGTGCACACAAAGGGTGCTTGGTACAGCCCCATGCCTCTGCAGCCCAGAATTTGCAGCTCAGACCTGGTCCCTCCACCCACGTGGGAATCCACAGGCAGGTTTAGGCCTGCCCATGCCCCCCTGTTCCGCCCAAATGCCAGCGCATGTGCAGAGTGCAGCTGCAGCAGCCCCGCCCCTCCCGGGACCAGAACCTGCAGCTCCCAACGGGGGCCTCCAGCAGCCACTGCACAGGGGTCACCCACCCAGGCTTCCTCCTCCTGCTGGGACACCCATGCACACATAGAGCAGGTTCTTGCCCAGATATGCATCCAGGGCCTGGGCCCTCCACCAGCCTGGGGGTCTTGTACAATCGCTCTCCTGAAGACAGAGTCTGTGTTCCCACTCAGCCTCAATCTACCTGGGACAGGTGTCCACAAGCCTCCGTGTGGGTTCCAGGGTCACCTGCCCCATTGCCTGCCTGCCTGCCACCAGAATACCCGAACAGGAGCCTGACTACTGATCTCCAGCCCCAGGACTTGGGCGTTCACCAGCCTGGGGGTTCTGGGTCCTTCCCCCTCCTCCTACCCAAACATGAGTGCCGGGGTGCTATGCAGAGTACAGCCCCTTCCAAGCCCAAATTTGCAGCCCAGATTCTGTCCCTCTACCAACCTAGGCACCCTCACGTCTGCAAGCTGAGCAGCCCCTGAGCAAAGGTCCCAGGTACACATTCCTCAGTCACAGCTGGCAGCATCCTGCTTCCTGTCCAAACAGCTGATGATCCGATGCTAGCTGTTATAGCTCTAGGACTCCTAGCAGTGGTTAAGTGCTTGACTGCTGACTGAAAGATCAGAGGTTCAAACCTATCAGCCACTCCATGGGAGAAAGATGTTGGCAGTCTGCCTCTGTAAAGATTACAGCCTTGGAAACCCTATAGCGCAGTTCTACTCTGTCCTATAGGTTTGCTCTAAGTTGGAATGGACTCAACAGCAATGGGTTACAGCCCTGCCCTTCCTGGGCTCAGATTCTGCACCTCCAACTCAGCACCTCCCCAAACGTGAATGCTCTGGGGCTCCACACTATCCTTCATGGGTCCCAGGATAAGCAATCCAAGCTCCTGCTTGGCACTCAGACACCCCCAGCACGTGCAGGGAGCACGCTGCCTAGAACCTGCCTGTGAGTCCGGGCGCTTCCTTCAACCTGGGAGTCCGCAATCCATCGGAGAGTCCCACGTAAGGCTCCCTGAAGCTGCCCTGCCTCTCCTGGGACAGGAATCTGCAGCTCCAAGCTCGTCTCTCCACCAACCATTGAGTCCCCAGGTTTGTGAGAAGGAGCAGTGTCTGCTCCAGGGTTCCAGGACCACCTGCCCAGACTCTCACCTCCCACCTCATGCTTCTCACCCAAACACCTGTTCAAGGTGGCACAACCCCTCCCTTCCAGGAGGCAGAATCTATAACTGAGTATTCATCGACCCAGATGTTCTCAGTCCCTCCACTAAACAGGCCCTACATTTAAGCTGGTGTAGGATGGCGCGGGACCAGGCAGTGTTTCGTTCGGCTGTACAGAGGGTCGCTATCAGTTGGAACCGACACGACCGCACCTAACAACAACAACAAGGGAAGTAAGGAGTCTCTGGGTGGCTCAGATGGCAAAAAGCTCGGCTGCTAACCAAAAGGTCGCCGGTTCAAACCCACCTGCCACTCCGCGGGAGAAAAGACCTAGCAATTTGCTCCCGTAAAGGTTCCAAAAAACCCATAGCCGTCAAGTCGATTTGACTCACGGCGCCCCTAGACAACAAAGTAGAACCGTCCCATACGGTTCCCAAGGAGCGGCTGGAAGATTTGAACTGCCGACCTTTTGGTTAGCAGCTGAGCTCTTAACTATTGCGCCACCAGGGCAATAGTTTACAAAAGATTACAGCCTAGGAAACTCTATGGGGCAGTTCTACTCTGTCATATGGGGTCGACATAAGTCGAAATCAACTTGAGAGCACCTCAACAACAACACGGGGAGTATGGAGTCGTGGGTGGCTCGAACGGTTAAGCGCTGGACTACTAATCAAAAGGTTGGTGGTTCAAACTCACCCAGAGGCGCCTCAGAAGGCCTAGCGGTCTGCACATTGGTGGTCGCCATGAGTCGCAATCGGCTCCATGGCAATCTCCCATCACAACCAACCACCACCCCCACCATTAACAAGGGGGAGTACAAGTTGTTGCCCTGCCTTCCACCGACCTAGGCAACCTCAGACCTCAGACAGGAGCGGCGGCTGCCCAAACATCAGCGCATACTCACAGAGCACAGCCCGGGAATCTGCAGCTGCACCAACTTGCGCGACTGCAGACTGTAGGCTAAAGCGCCGCCCGGGCAGGTCTCAGATCGCCCACCCGCACCCACGCTCCCAGCTTCCCGCCTACACCCTGCGCATGCGCGCACTGGACACCCGGCGCTGCCCCGCCCCTCACCAACCTGGGCGTCCTCCAGCCGCGGCTCGGGTCTGGCCTGTACCCGTCTCAGCACGGGCACGGCTCTACCGCAGGACGAACTCGGGTTAAGCAGCCCCTCTCCCTGATTCCGCAGCACGACCAACTCGGGTTAACTTAGTTAGGCCTCCTCCCCTAGTGGGTAGCCACAAGGCCTCTCGGAGTTAAAATCCGAAAGGTCGAGGTGCTGGGCAAGAACAAACGTCCGCAAACGGGACAATGGCCGCGCTTCTGTGCGAACCCGGAAATGCTTTTGAGGGACTGCGAAGCAGAACTACAATTCCCAGAAGGCTCTGCGGCGAGCCAGGCCGTTGGGCGGGTTTCCAGGTCCCACAGGGAGGTGGACGCGAAAGCTCCGCCAGACGGGAGGGAAGGAAAACTCAGGCATGTGGACCCGGCTGGGGGCTGCGAGTGTCCGAGTCTGCGCGGCGCCGAAACGAGGAGCCGAACCGGAAGGCCGAGACCAGGGCGCCAATGCAGGGGGAGTGACTGACTGGAAAAGACCTACCCTGGACCCGACTTGACGCCCAGGAGTCGCCCGGAAAACGCAATCTGGGTGGATGGAAAGGGTGGATCGCCTGTTAGACGCACCGTCTCCCTTGGCCCTCATGCCAAACCTGGGGGAGGTCTTTGCGACATCTCCCTTTTACAGTCGATGGAGCTCCTAGCAAAGCCCTTCAAGAATGTAGTGTGTTTGTACAATAATAGTAGTAATATACTAAGAATCCTTTTATTGATTTTTTTTTTTATTTTATTGAGTTCTTTATATAAGGCCTTAAGGATCTGCCCTCCCCCCACCCATCCACACACAAACCAAAACCAAATCAGTTCCAGTCAAAGCCAATTTCAACTCCTGGCAGATTTTTCGGGAGTAGATCGCCAAGTCGTTCTTCCGAGGCACCTCTGGGTGAAGCCACCACCCTTTTGCTTAGTAGCTGAGTGCTTAATCATTTGGACCACTAGGGACTCTGCCGCCGCCCCCACCTTGCCCTCATCTCCTGCCCCTTTTGCTGGCTCAGCTTCCGCCACACTGGCCTCTTCCCCCTTCTTGAACACACCAAGCAGTCTCCTGCCTCAGGGCCTTTGCATGTGCTGTTCCCTCCTCCTGGCAGGCTTTTCCTCTTGGTCTTTAAGCGGATGCCACCATCTCATGTGCCTTCCCAGACCACCCATTGTCAACTTGCAAACAAGCCCCTCCCTCTCCACACACTCCACTCCCCCGACCCATCTTTAGTTTTCTCTATAGAACTCTTCATTATCTTGTTGTTGGGTACTGTCCAGTGGATTCCAACTCATAGAAAACCTATGTGACAAAGTAGAACTGCCCCCATGGGGATTTTTTTTGGCTGTAATCTTTAGGGAAGCAGATCTTTCTCCCACAGAGCCACTGGGTGGGGTCGAACCACCAACCTTATGGTTAGCAGCTGAGCGGCTTAACTGCTGCACCACCAGGGCTCCTTTTTCATCATCTAACACACTATTATTTTAGGTATTGATTTCCTCTATCGTCCACTTGCCTTCACTAGAATGTCAGCTCCATGAGGGAAAGGTTTGTGTCTATTTCAATCACTGCAGTATCCTTAGCGCATGAAAAAGGTACTTGGCACATAATAAACCAACCCTGTTGCTGTACAGTAGATTCTGACTCCCGGCAA